GTTGTGGTTATTGTGTGTTGTGTGACTCGAGAAGGTTTGTGCTTAAAGGCAAACCTTTGTTTAAATTGAAGAACATAAAATGTGATATTCAGGTTAATAATTACATCCTGGGCTTGAAATCTCCAAAAGAAAAAAAAGAAAATGTGATAAAGTGTTTAAAAGKGTGTAATTTACATCAAGTCCATAAGAAAAGAGCCCACAGTGTGGTGCTAACTGACCTGAACCCCGATAGCTTTATAAAGTCTCTGAACTTCAAAGCTCTACAGTCATTCACCCAGACACACACTGATGATTGAGTGATAAAAACACAACATCCAGCCATCTTTATTGTTGTTTATGTACTTATCTGAGCTGTAGGAGGCAGAGATGACCCACCACACCTTCAGCCTGTTTATAAGACGTCCAGAATGATGCAATCACCAACCTGCTGTCTCACATCGTATTGAAGTATAATCCAAGCTTGAGACGGACAGAGTGGGGGGATGGAAGCTGAGACTCAGAGTCAGGACCACTCCTCTAACCCCTCTTCCACAGGGACTAAGAGCAGCTACTGTATGTGTGATCAGCTGCTGCTAACTCTGATGTCAGAGTTACACAGGTCTGCTAGTTTCCATCTGTGGGCCTTTTATCACTTCAATTACTTTATACACATTTTGAAGTTCTGAGAAACAAACATCTGCCTCTTGTGTTGAAAATGCATTCATCACTCACCAAATCAGACTTTCCTCTTTCTAACTGTCCATCTTTTTCTTCTGTCTGGTAGAGTTTTGGGGTTCTGTTGCCAAGGATTTCTTCTGGAGAAACAAACACACGGGGCAGTTCTTGGACTACAACTTCGATGTGACCAAAGGAGAAATCTTTGTCAAGTGTATGGAAGGAGCCACCACAAACATCTGCTACAACCTCCTGGACCTCAACGTTCATGAGAAGAACATGGCTGATAAAATCGCCTTCTACTGGTTAGTATAAAGCTGTGTGTGTGTTTGTGTGTCTMTGCAGAGTGGTGTAAAAATCATCTCAGAGCGGCTGATTGGCCACGGTCATCAACAGCCAACGATTGTCAAGGTGTAGCTGTGAACTGGATCACATCACACCAACACAACTTTAGGTTGTTTATCAGGACCATGTAACCAGAACACCTGGATAAAGAAACCTCATGACACAGCATTACACCGCTGCTGCTGCTGCAGCAACAAGAGGAACTTCATCCTCACCTGCATGTCTCTGAGAAACATCGTATTTATCACAGCACTGAGTTATCATTTAGAAATATGATGTCATTGGTATATTGTATGGTTTAAATAGATTAGTACTTTTGTAGTTGTATAGTTAGACAGTCCCTGAATACTCAGGTCTGACTGCTGGTTTCAGCCTGGATGTGGAGGAGGAAACAGCAGCAGTGTCATGATGGGCTGCAGGTGAACAGTTTCCTGTTCAGCTGTGGTTACCAACCTTTTCAGACTTGTGTACCCCTGAGCCATTTTGTCATACCACTAATACCCCTGCAGTTAAATGTAAWAATGGTTCTCCAAAACTTTAATGTACTGCGACTGATTATTAAATGAAAGTTATTTATTTAACCCTCTAGAATGTTTAAAGGGGAACTATTACGCAAAATTCACTTTTTAAAGGTTTTTTTTACTCAACTTTGGGTATGTACTTCTTAAAAAACAGTACTAGGACCAAAAAAATGCATCCAGGGGCATATTTACTGTAAGTAAATGTATTTTTAATGTATATTAACGACAAGTTTTATACTTCCGTCATTTTGTGATGTCACAAGCCGTACGACAACCCACCTGAACCTGCATTCAGCCCCTTACCTAGCAACCCCCGGGTGARACTCCACCTCCTCAGTATAAAAAGCCGTCACCGTGTTGTTGTGTAATGTGTAGCTCATTTCACAACAAGCCTCCAATAGGGCAATGGGTAGAGTGTTGGACCAGAGAGTGGGAGACCAGGGTTTGAGACCAGCACAGACACAGTTTAATTATTTATTTATTTTCATTCGTTATGAACATGTTTTCTCATGTACCTCTATTGTTTAGCTTATTAAAGCCTTGTTAAAGCCTATTTGTTTGAGTTTCTGAGGTATTTTGACCGCTGCTGCTCCCTGCTCTGGTAACAGCATGCAGAGTGAGCGCAGAGCAGAGGAGGGGGAGAAAAAAAAGAAGCTGGACCACGCCTCTGCCTCTGGGTCTCATATGGTTGTACAACGGAGCTTCTGCTATTATTAGCCATGCTAACGTAAACGCTGGCTTTGGAGGGCGGAGTTAATGTCAACAGATTTTTGGAGGGCGTTACCAACAGAGCTCATTAACATAAACAGCTCTTCTGAACRGAAGTCAGAGYAGGCAGAACTAGAAAATGGGAAATTTTATAATCTGAGAATTATTTTGTGCATTAAATTGAATGAACATGGTCTGGATAGCCCACAGACATACCATAAACATTTATAGGACCCATAATTGGTCTCCTTTAATTCTCAGACATTTATTTTTTCTCAAATTAAACAAAGATAAAAACATTGCCTTGAAAGTGAATAAGTAATTAAATAAATAAACCAGGTAACGGCAGGAACAGAAAACAGCATCCAAAACACGTCAGAAACTCACCAAAATGGGCAAATTCTGAGAGATTCCATGTTTTATACTGGATTCCATTTCGTGTCAGTTCTATGATTTCRTCTGCAATTTCCACATTGCAGAAATCATAGGGCCCTACATATCTCAGTCATATTTTTATTATTATTTTTAAACGTAGAAAATGTTTCCACGTACCCCCTGTAATATGCTTGCGTACTCCAAAGTACGCAAGCATATTAGGAATACKCCATATTATATTAGGAGTACATATTAGGCGTACTCCAAATTCCCAATCAGGGGTACAGGTACCCCTGATTGGGAATCATTGCTGTACACAACCATGACCACCTGTTTCTTCCTCGTTCAGCAGGTCTGATTGATGATAACAGCTCCTTGGTTTGTGCCAAGACATCAAATGAAAGATGRTGACAGCAGCACATTATTTATAGGTGCTGGGTGTGTGTGCATTAATCTCTGCTGTGGGACAGTGAATAACTTAGAGTGCTGCCAGGTTCAGTGTGAAGTTTAATCAGTAGGGCCAGTTTTGGTTTCCATTCTTCATAAGCAAAGTACATTGTTGTGTGGGTACATGTGTACATTCAGATCTGCTATTAACATACATACAGTTCTGTTTGTATGTACGAGTCATAGTCATGGCTAAGACATAATCCTCCTTCATAGTCCTTAAGACACACCTCGTATGTTTTCACACACACCTTTCATAGTTCTTTAGCACAGAGATTTTTAAACCATGGGCTGCGGCCCAATTGTGGGCTGCGAGCGCCACCTTGAGGGCCTCAAGGGAACAACAGTTTTTAAGTTTGGTCCGCAGAGGGCCGTGGGACCGCATTGATTTTGAATAAGGTGCAATACACTTTCTCACCACTAGTAGCAGTAGTGCACCACTCAGATGTTTAACAACTTTTTTAATATGTAGAAAAAGAACCTTAGAAACCTGCCGAGATTGGAAACGTATTTTAAATGAAAAGTAGAAGCAAAAATGAGAAAAAGGTTAAAGTTTGTCACTAATATGAAGAGCAGCTTCTGGTTCTACCATGTAAAAGTTTAAAAAGGCTTTATTTTCATTTGTACTTTATCAAATTTATTTTTACAGATTTTTTAAATTTGAAACATTTACAGTTTTAATTTATGTTTTATGCCCACAATTTTATTTATTGAATTGTCTATTTTTGTTACTTATGTTAAAATATATATAATTCTGTGTTGATAAGTCTGAGTGGTCTGTTCACTGACCTTTGTATTTGTTTAAATAATTGTTATGGGCAGGTTAATATAAAAATATGTTATTTATAATCATGTCTTGTGATTGTTTGACAGGAGTTTTACTTTTAAACTGTAAGTGTATTTAATTTAGTTATAATGCAATACAAATTAAACCAAGATTTAGAATAATTATCATTTTGATCCGTACATTGATAATGTCTGACTGGGCCTCGTGTCACTTTATGTTCAACAAATTGGGCCCCGAGGTCAAAAAGGTGAAGAAGCCCTGGTTTAGACACACCRCGTCAAGCTCCTGGGAAGCTCCTCCAGCTGTGGGATACATCAGTCTTTCTTCATGTTTCAGTGGGGTAGTTGGGCGTCGACTCTGATATCAAGTTAAAACTCCACAATTTTTGTCAGATACAGTGGGGTGCAAACGTTTGGGCAACCTTGTTAATTTTCCTGATTTACTTTTATAAATTATTGATTGTTTGGATAAAAAATATCAGTTAAATAAATCACACAGGAGACAAACACAGTGATATTTGAGAAGTGAAATAAAGTTGATATGATTTACAGAAAGTGTGCAATAATTGGTTTAACAAAATTAGGCAGGTGCATAAAGCAGAGTCTCTCTGATTGGTTGATTGGTTGCTGCTCTACGTCCAGCTCCAGCATCTGCTGCTTTGGACGCGTGACATGCTTCAGCAATTATCAACACGTCCATCGTAGATTATTCATGTGAACCAGATGTTCCGACGCTCTGAACAGTTGGGTGTGAACACAGCGTTAAACACATTGAGCTAAAATGGGGCGTGGTCGTAGCTGAAAGCAATCCCCAAGACATATTAAATTCTAATCCAATTCCAAAATAGTGGGCAGGGCCAGATAGGAACACTGGCTGTAACAGAACCATTTGTAGACATATGAGCTGGATATTTGTATGGTAGTAGCTGAGAGCAAACTCCAGAGCAGTCCAAACAGAAATCAAGAATCCAAGATGGCCACCATCTAATTTAAAATTGACTGTAACGTGACCACTCCCCTACATGAAGTTTTCTGGTTCTATTCTGTTTATTTTGTAATGGTTATGTTTTTCAATGTTAAAATGAAAGAAATAAACATTTCAGGTGACATTGTCTGAAATACACATGGCAATAAACTTGAGATTCAGCCTAAATATTTAGTGATTTAAGCAGCTCTTAAAATATTAGAGCTAATCAAGATCCACTGCCCAAAGCTTTCAACTTCCTGTCTCCTCCTTCCTTTTCTACCCGTCTGGTTTTTAAATGGTAGACGAGTTAGACGATGATTACTCCTGAACATGGCTCCAKTTAAGAATCTGAGAGGCAGGGATGTCACATCTTTACAAGGCTAATCTTTACAAAGTGAGTGTTTGAGTGTTTGAGTGAGGTGCTGTGTGACCTTGAGTTGGGTTTTCACAGGCAGAAAGGATTAAGATAATAGTTCTGTTTTGACAGAGTGGAAACTTTCTGCGGGTCAGATTTCACAACCAATTTCACAAAGATTTTTGTAACTTCTCTTGCATTTTGGCTGAGAAAGTAGAGGTGGAGTAATCTGCCTAACCTCCCTGCAATAAGGATGATCAGCAGGATGGCAGTTGTGCACTCAGTTCTATACACTATAATATACACATTTAAACACTTTTTATTTGACTTTTACATTAAGTAGAAGAGATTTTCCACCATCTCCTAAACTTTGAAGAGTTTTTCTAAATGTGAAGGCCTGGCCTGCTTCAGCTCATTATTACGCATGAGTGTGTTATTTTATTTTTCTAAAATGAGACTATGATTTTCTCTAATTGTTTATTGGAATATTATTTATTGCACTTGTGGTTTAAGTTTCCTTTAAAACAAATAGAAGTTTATTTGGACAAGTCATGAATTTGAAATCAAATGACATCACAGTTCAGTTTTATCATTTCGTTATTTTAAAAATATCAACTCTAACCTGAAAGGGTTCCAGATTTTCAGATGTGTGAATTTACTGTTGCTTTGATCACAAGTAAAAACGTTTAACCATAATTAGATGTTACAGTAATAAAATGTAACAGTTACTGTTTGTGGACCAGTTTGACATGGTGAATTTATGCACCAGTCACTCGAAATTTTAATTAGAGAAAACTACTTTTTTATTGGTCAGTAAAGAATTAAATAATGTATTTAACTAGTGTAAAGGTATTTTTTTTTCTTTGCACATTTGTCTGTTCAGGTTCACTTTACTTTGAAAAGGTCATTTTGGACCCGTACTGACAGAATGATTAGATCAAATATAAATGAAAATATTATTTGTTATGACTGAGATTTGTGTAAAAATGAGTCCATAAAGAGTCCATCTTGCAATACTAAGCCTGATATTTCAAACCTACCCTTTAGATGAAGTTGGTAAATGGACTGAACTTAATAGTAGGGGTGTAAGAAAATATCGATACACTGAAATATCGCGATATTTCATTTCCCGATACTGTATCGATATTCTAAAGCCCTGTATCGATTTT